TAATCAGATGAGGGACAGTTTGCTATGTCTACTAGGTAGCTAAAGTCTGATCCTCAGAGACTATGGTTTGGACGGTCAACAACGCTTGGGCCCACAGGGCCTTGACCTCCTGACCGGGTCCGCACGGTCTGCATCAGATTCCCCCTTATTTATTTGTTTAAGGGACGCTGCCTGTCTTAGGTGGTCAGTGTGAATTCCTCAGTCTTACCTGTCATCGAAACTCATTGCAGCATGGCAATGAGTGCAACTTAGCTTTTAAAAAACTTTTTATTGTGAAAATTTTCAAGCATGCAGGAATAGAAAACAGTAAAATGAACTTGTACGATAGACACATCTTCAGTTATTACCTGGTAGGCTATATTGTTCTATCTATCTATGCCCACTCTTGAGTGTTTTGAAGCCAGCCTCATGTATATCATTTAATCATAAATACAGACCCTTAAAAATAAACAGAAAACATATCCCTACTAGCATATAAAACAGGTTTGCTTTTTATAATATTTGAATCAGGATCCAACCAAGTAAACAAATAAAGTCTGTAAATATGGCTGGTTGCTCTGTGTCTTAAGTTTCTTTTACTCTATATAAGTTCCCTGCATCTTTTTTTTTTTTTTAAACTGCCTAGCAATTTATTTGTGAATATACTGGGTGGTTGTCCTAGAATTTGATTTTCTGATTATATTCCCACTGTTTAATATACCATATTTCTTTGTCCCTCATTTGTCTGTTTGTTGGTTCAGGTTTGATTTTTTTTTCCTTCTATCTTAGTATGACTATGTCAACAAGAGTTGTTTTTCAATCAGGAGGCACGTGATGTCTCTCTTTCTTCTGCTTCTCTCCATGTTGGTAGCTATTGTTGCTAAATACCTAGATCTGTGAGTTCATGAGCATACAACTAAGAAACTCTTAATTCTATCATTCCTTCATTTTTGAGCTGAAATACATCTATAAAGGGAAACTTCCCTTCAGCAATTATGGTTTGAGTGATAAGTGGGTAAAGGGTAAAAAGAAGTGGCAGCTTTGAGAACATGTGGGGTCAGTACCTTGGAGAGTTCCTAGGCCTTGAAGGGTTAACACCTCACAGGTGGCCCTAGGGCTTCCCTTTCAGTTTAGGGATCATGCAAGACGAGCTTGTCTCTTGCTTTTGGACACAAGATGGGCAGATAGTCTTGGTTGAAGCAGGTGCTATATCTTGTGTGTTTATGAGGAACAAGAACAGGGAGATGCACATGGATGAGGTCTTCATGGCTTCTCTTCTAGAATTGGCCATTTTTTTCCCCTGGCAGATAAAATATGATGTTGCGTTCTGACCCCAGATATAGCATTTATAGTGATTTGACAACAGTTCTATAACTTGGGGGCTCTCCTTTCCATCAGTACATATTTAAGGGCTGCCTGCAATATATCATGGCATCCTAGTGATGTCGTGAGTTAAGTGTTGAGATGTTACCTGAAAGGTTAGTGGTTCTAATACACCAACCACTCTGGAGAAAGATGGGGCAACCTCTGTAAAGATTTGCAACCTCAGAAACCGTAAGGGCAATTTTACTCTGTCTTAGAGGGTCACTATAAGTCAACTTGACAACAGTTTTGGATTTTGTAATGTATCATAAATCCCTTCCATGTTGGGGGTACCTATAAATAGCTAAGGAATTGAATGATCTATAGATTGAAGAGAAAAACAAAGCATTGATTCTGTCTAGGAAAAATTCCAGCCTTGTTGGAAAGATGAAATATTGTGGAGACTGTATTTTGACTGTACTTCCCCAGCATTAGCAGATCACTCAACATATAGTGGGTCCTCTGTCCATGATAACCGAGCACCTGAAGCAGTTATTGTATAGTTCATGATGGTTTCCCTTTAAAGAGATAATGTGAGGAAGAGATGGGCTGAAGCTAAAGCCAGGAAAGGCTTTGGAGAAGGAGATTTTGAGCAGGATGAGAGGAAGACGTAATGGTCTTGTCTAGGTTAGGAAACAGCATGAGCCAGAAATCTAGAGGCAAGAATAAGCATGGCTCAGGTAAACTGACAGTCAAAGGTACATAACTATGAGCCATGCTTTGTGCTGGGAAAATAAAGTACAGTAGATAACACATCTGCCTTCTTGAGACTGTATTTCTCTTGTGGATTAAATTGTGTTCTTAAAAATATGTGTTGAATTCCTGTCTGTTGCACATGGGAGTCTAATCTTGTTTAGAAATAAGGTTTTCTGTTTGTTATATGTTACTCTGAAGGTATACCCATGTAGGGTAGATCCTAACTCTAATTTGTACTTTGATGTTATACATAAAAGAGAATAGACTCTGACTAACATAGGCAAAAAGAAAGACAGAGATGAGACAGATGCATCTCCAAGCCCAGGAATGCCATGAAAAAAGTTAACCTTAGTAATAAAGCAACTAAAACAAACCATGTTTCATACCTTAGCAAGGTTTTTTTCTTTAGCAAGAAGAGGATGTGGTGAGACAAACAAGTAAAGCTGTTTGGTGGCGGTGTCAATTAAAAGATTTCAGGAAAGCCATTTGGGTATACTTTTTTTTTTTTAATGTTTTATTGTGAATTATGTGATCGTTTACATGGGAGAACATTAGTTTTACATTCATTCTATTGTGTATCGTTTTGGGTACACTTTTCAAAGCCCTTTAATACCACCTGACTCCTTGACTGTGTAACTGCGCTTGCGGGCATGTTGCCTGAGGGAGTCCTCAGAACTGCAAAGACTTGTTCTTAAAAGGTGTCTATTATAGTGGTGAAAACTGGAATTGGAAATCAACTCAGTCTTCAATATTAAGAATACACTTAGGTTCATATAGTATTCTTTTGTTGGTAAGTGCCCTTGAGTCGATTCTGACTCATAGTGACCCTGTATAGGGTTTCTGAGCAGTAGCTGGTGGATTTAAACTGCTAATGTGCCACACCAGGAGTCCTCATATAGCATGTCATAAGATAAATTATTATCTGCCTGTTCCTTTGCAGAACTTTTGTGGGGAAACCTCACAATTTAACTTAAGCAGGAATACAAATCTCAGCCATGATGAGGAAAATGTTTTTAAGAGACTGGTAGAAAGTATATGAAAATATTATTCTAGGTTATCTCTAGGCAAGAGGTTTACATATAACTTTTTGAGATGAAACAAACATTTCAGGGAGAACCAGGTTCAAGACCTGGAAAACTTGGAAAAGAACTGCCTGTGTGCCCTGCCCTGACCAGGTCAGGCTGTAATGGCCTTGCGTGTGTCAGAAACAGACTGAACTGGTGTGACTGGAGGAGCATCAGGAGCAAAAAGCAGGTCCAAAGTGTTTCAAGGGCTCTTACAGGCATTTGGGGATGACCCTGACCTTGAGCAGACTGAGACAGGCTACAGAGGAAGAAAATAAACTGGAACATGAAGATGATTATACAAAGGAGCATGACTTATACAAAGGACCCTGACCTTATGTCTCTATGAATAATGATTTCTTTGTGTTGTCTCCTCAGGTTCAGATTCAGAACAAGAAAGTTGACATTTCTAAAGTCTCATCCAAATGTGGATCCAAGGCTAACATCAAACACAAACCTGGTGAGTGGTGTCATCTTGCCATCTGGAGCTCATAGGGACGAATGGGCCTGCCATGGACCAGAAATAGCTCTTTGGCTGGGGATGGTCTCATCCCTACACCTTATCATTCCATAAAGATTCTGGTGGCTCCCTGAATCTGAAAAAAGTCTCAGCAGTGGAAGCAACACAGCCTGCAATCCTTATTATCTGGTAGGGTAGGGAGGATCACAATGCTAACATTCACATGCTAAGGTGGAGAAGGAAGAGTTTGTAAAGACCACCCAGCGTTCTCTTGAACACCTGCTGTGTGCATGGCATGCTGTCCCCTGGGAGCCAGGGTCAGTCAGCTCCCACAGGAACAGAGCTAGCATTTCAGAAGCTAGGACTGCAGGGACAAGCAATACTGTGTAGACCCACAAATAAGTGCCTTCAACAACAACAACGCAGAGTTTCCTTCCACCCCACAAAGGCCTCTGCACCCCTGCCTTGGCTATGGGCGAAACAGTCCTGTGTGTCCTGATTCCCAAGTCCACAAGAAATTCAGGGGTAGGGAAGCCATCACTGCAGCATTGGGGAGACCTGGCATCTCAGAAGGTCAGTCTCCATGGACCACTCTGAAGGTCAAGGTAAAGAGACAACTTTCCTTCTCAGTGAATTGTGTTGTCTATTTTAGACTGTGTTGTTATTTAAAGGGTCAAAAAGTTTGCCCCCTAGCTATTCCCTTCATTTATTTATTTATTTGCTTCTTATTACAGAAAGTAATGTTAGCCTCTGTAGCCTGTTTTGTTTGTTTCAATTGGAAGATTATATGTAACACAATATTTGCCTTTTCACACTTTTTCTGGTTTACAACTTAGTGATATCAGTTATATTTTTCAAGTTGTGCAACCATTATCCTTCATCAATGCCAATTTTCCCTTTCATCTGGAAGATCCACTCTTGTGAGATACTTCCTTCCCCAGTGACACTAAATGACTGGAGGTGTGGCTTTTCCCTGAGGCTGAGCTATGTCACTGAAGAGCCGGGGGGTATTGAGGTTTGTGATGTGAGCTGTGGAGCTGGAACCACGCTGAGGGAATCTAGCCTTACTCCCTCCTTGATTTCTGCTCAGGAAACTGAATCCCTGAGGTCGGCCAGGGTCCATGCTGAGCTGGGTCATGTCTACCCTCTCTCTACTCAGTTCTGAGGCCACTTCTTTTTACCTATTTTTCCACTAATGTGTGACTGAGTTAAAAGGCCCAGACAAGCCACATTGACACGTGCCCCTGTCAACCACTAGCTCAGCAACATTGAGAAAGTCATCTCTCTCCCAACCTGTTTTAGTAGCTTTAAAACAAGGGTCATGACCTTAACTAAACTGTGGAGGCTGTGTACTGCTTACCATCTTCCTCCTCCCTCCCTCTCCTGCAGAAGGAGTTACCAGAAGCAGTCATCTCAGGACCCTTGAGGGGCTGGCTGGGCAGTGAGGGGAAGCACTGCCCCTCCTCCGGGCTGTTCTGTGCTGTGACTGCTAGACTGAAAGACCGCCTGACCGGCCCAGAGCAGTCTGTGAGCCTGTGTCAACCTCTCCTTGCCTCCATGTTCTTCCTCAGAACTGCCCCACAACAGCACACCTTTTTTTTTTTCTTAACTGTTGTATTGTGAACTATGCAATAGTTTACATGGGAGAACATTAGTTTTACATTCATTCTATCATATATCGTCTCATTGCCATGGTTCCAATCCCCTCCATAACAGCGCACCTTTTGCCTTTGACAAGCCAGCATCTCTTTTCTGGCTTTATCTACAGGAGTCTTTTTCAATCACTCCTAGTGACCAGTGGATTCTGTTCTGGTTGCAGGTGGAGGAGATGTCAAGATTGAAAGTCAGAAGTTGAACTTCAAGGAGAAGGCCCAGGCGAAGGTGGGATCCCTCGATAATGTGGGCCACCTGCCTGCGGGAGGTGCTGTGAAGGTAGCCAGTGGGTCACAGGGGGACACAGCTGGGCAGGGGTGTAAGTTGTGCAGCTAGGATCAAGGTCCCAGCAGGTGGGCACCTGTCGCCGCCCCTCAGTTTCTACAGGAGTTGTGTCTTCATCCACCATTGCTGTGTTACCGTCATCTATCATCAGTCCTGACTGAGGCAGGAGAGGTGACAAGCCCCCTCCTGGCCCCATCTCACCTGTCTAGCTGGACACAGACCTTGTCCTGAGAGCCTTGGCCTTCCTTAACTCTTGAGGCCCTGAACCTATCTCCTCCATTTGCAGAATGACTGTGGCCTGGGGCATGGTCACTCAAGGCAGGTCTATACCATATGGTTCTCCCAGCAGACTGCTGAACAAGGACAACATGAGTGCCTGCTCTGTGTCAGGCTCTGCTTCTGGCCTGGTAGCAGGATGGCACATTTTTTAATGCTGGGGGCAGCAGGCTTGGCATCCACCTGAATGGAGGCCAACCTGCAGATAACCCAGCTCAGTGTTCTAGGAGTGGGTAACAGCTGCCCATCCTCAGGATTGGCTGGGCCTCTCCTTCCTCCTTTCCATCCCCCTCCCTCCTTCCACAGTACTGTGAGACCCTCTGTGTGCCAAGACACTGTCTGTCCTTTGTTCTGTGGCATTGGTGGGCAACTCGGAAGGCTGAGTGGGGAGTCCATAGGCAGCTGCTCTGGGCCTTCCCCCACATCTGTTCACCCAGCCTATGCCATTACCCTGTCCTGTGAGGGTGCTGATCCAAGCCCTGACCAACTTCAGTGAGCATTTTAGGGGTCCTCAAATTCTCAGTTCACACCCCAAGCGCCTGTGAGGGTGCTGCTCTGGAGTCTTCTGACTAGAGTTGGGCGCAGCAGAGAGTTGGCACAGGTGTCCTTACTTGTCCATGGCCAGCAGCAAGTGAGTGCAGCCCAGGACTCTGGCCTGGGCATCTCCACCCCCAAATCTGATGATATGCTTTTATACTCAAATTACCATTTTTTTTTTTCCCCTTCTCTTTCTTTTTGTTGGAGTTGTCTAATACAGAGACTTGTTCTTTTCCCAATTCTTATTAAAACCCACTGTGAAGTGTCCCCATTGTTTCCTTTGGGGTTGAAAATTGATCCATAAGGGTTTCAGACATACTGAGGCTTCCCACTGTTGTTCCCTCTCTCTCTGCTTTGCTCACACTGTGTGTTCACTGTCTCCAAATGTTCTTCTCCTCCCATGAAGTCTCCAGGTCCTAGATGTCCCTCAGTCACACTTTGTGGGCAGTTGCCATGTTCATCAGCTCTTTCTTGTATCCTTCCCCACAGCCACCTTCTTCCTCCCTTCCCTGTGTCCCCTGAACAGTGGCCCACAGAGAAGAGGCTTCAGTGTCTAGGGCATATGAACAGATAAATGACCAAACAGGATGTGGAAGCATCTCGGAGCACCCACTGTGTACATGCGGTGTCAGGTCTTCCTCCTTAGGGGCTGATTACAAGCCCCTGAGCTTCTAAAAGTGATCCACATCACCCCTGCTGCCGACCCAGTTCAGTCCCATTGTCTTTCTAAGATTGTCCTTCAGGTTTGTTGCTAAGTATCCGTTGTCATAGCTCCCTTTTTATTTGGTACCAGCCTTGTGGAGAGGTTGGCACTATCACCTTGGGCTCTGGTCACTGCCAGGGCTGCCTCCCAGAGGCCTTGCTCCCGCTCTGCACCAGGTGGCTACAGTCAGGGGGAACCAGGTGGCAGGGGATTCTCCTCTGATGAGGCCTTGATCCCGTGGGAGGCTGGGCAACATGGGTGGGATTTGTGTGTGAAATCCACTGTCATTCCATTCCACTCCCTCCCCCACTGACCCTGCATTGTCTCCCCCATGTTTCATTGTAGACTGAGGGCGGTAGCAGCGAGGCCCTTCCGTGTCCGGGCCCCCCTGCTGGGGAGGAGCCAGTCATCCCTGAGGCTGCACCCGAAGCTGGCACCCCCACTTTGGCCTGTGGCCTCAGTGGCCATACAACCCTGTCAGGGGGTGGTGACCAAAGGGAGGCCCAGACCTTGGACAGCCAGATCCAGGAGACAAGTAAGTGGCCGGGCTCGGCCTGAGGGCCAGCCAGGGGCCCTGCCACTGGCCGAAAATTGAAACTCCTTTGTGTGTTGACTAGAGTGTGGCCTAAATTTTAATGAAGCAACCTTTTATTTTCCAGGCATTTAATGATGACATTCTGGTCTCGTCTTCCGTCCCCTGTGTTCCTCGTCTTGTGTCCCCTGTTGCCCTCTCCCACCCCTCCCCCATGTCACTGCAGATTGAGACCTACAGGCTGACGTTCCGGGCCAACGCCAGGGCCCGCACCGACCATGGGGCAGACATTGTCTCCCGGCCCCCCTACTTTCCTGGCGGCCCCACCTTGGGCACCCGGGCCCCTGGGTCTCTCACCCAGGCTGCCCACTAGACGTGTGACCGCGTGGGTGCTGGGCAGCAGCAGTCTCACCACCACGCCACCTCCCATTGCCTCCCCAGGCCCGGTCCCCTGCTTTGCTCCTGCTCCCACATTGCACCACTGCTGCCCAGAGGAGGCTGGGAAGGGAATCTGTTGGGGTCGAGGAGGGGGAACCAGATTCCAACCTTCTCTTAGTTTGGTTTTACTGACTGAAGCCCAGAGACATGCCCTTCCCGCCCCAGGGTCCACCTAGAAGGAGAGTGGAGGTGGGGCCCTCAGTGAGTACTCTGCCTGCCTGCCTCCTCTGGAGCCCAGTAAGCAAGCAAGCACTGCCTCCTGTTAGCCCCATAGGGACACTTGCCATGCAGGTGGTGCCAGCCCCCTCCTTGCTGCCCTGCCCCCCATGTTAGTTAGGGGTCAGTACCACCTGGCCCTGCTGCTTTCCATACTTATTGCCCAGCTGCTATCAAAACTGTCTTTTATTCATTTTATCTTTTGTTTCTAATAACCTAAAAACTGGTGTAGTAGTTTTACAGATTGAGGCCATGTCTGAATGAAAGTTCTCAGTAGGTGTTGAAGGTTAGAGGGAGAAGAAAGCTGTAAGCCTACACCTAGGAGCCTGTCAGTTCTTGGGGGCTAGAGCCGCCCACTGAGTAGGGCCAGCCCTGCTTGAACAGACTGGGCCCTGGAGATGGACTGGCAGGGAAGGGGACGTGGTGGGGCAGGAGCCCCGAGAGTGAGCAGTGGGAAACACAAGGGACTGGTCAGAGTATGAACTTGTGGTGTTGGCATTGTGTGTGTATGCTGCTTCTCTTCTAACCAAGAGGCTGGTTTTGGCATTTCTGTTTTGTTTCCTGGGATCTAGTGGGAGACACAAAGGCTGGGGAAACAGGGAAGGGCCAAGGACCTAAAACTCCTCCAAGCCTGCACCTAGTACACTCAGGCCCTTAGTAACGGAGTCAGGGTGTCTAGAAGTCACATGAAAAGTGGGGAATCAGGTCTTGAAATTTAAAATAAAAGGCAGGAGATTGAGGCTAGCCTGTGGAGGGGTGTCCCAGCTGGGCCCAGTCTTCAGGGGCTGCGGTGATGGGAAATCCCAGAAATTGTATTGACATGAAGATTCCTATTGTACTTGTATTTTTTGTATTAAACTTTGCATGGTTTCTAATAAAGGATTAAAGCCTACCAGTTTGTAGTGAAATGGCCTGGGAGTGTCCACGGGCTGATCCTCTAGAAGAGCATTTCCTGCAGTGCAGATTTGTCTCTGGGGGGTAGCCCTCCCTTCCACCTCAACCCCTCTGCTCCTGGTGTCCCTTGCAACTGGACAAAGCAGGGGTCTTTGCTTAGATTTTGATTTGATCTGTGTGTAAGGAGGACACCCCTGGGCTTGGCAGTTTCTACCCATTTCTTAGAATTATCCCTGGGCAGTTCTGACATTGTATCCACAGCTCCCCAAGCACCCACCAAGTTAGAGGTGGCTGTGTTTTGTGGAAAAAGCTTTCCTGCCTAGAGATGGTTTGCAGGGTGGTAAGGGCACCAACGCTGTGACCACAGGTAGAAGTCGGACGCGGCAAGACCTCATCAAGAGACACAGCAGAGCCAATAGTGCTGGACGTAAAGGTCTTGGGTTCATGAGGGTGCCAATTTGGCATAGGGACCTTTCACTGGTTTTGCCAAGGGTGGAGGTGGTAACCGAGTGCCTGCTCACAGCCCCTTTGAAAGATCCCATGAGCCAGAGAACCTGTGAAAGCTGGCCCGAGGGGGAAGGGGGGTACCCATGGTCCCTGTGTAGCGTGTGCCACTCTGGGTTTGTCTGTTACCAACTGGCGTACGGCTCAACCATTACCTTCATCAATCTTTGATCCTATTGTAAACATTTAAAGACTAAATAAAGCTGTGTGATGTCCCACCAGGCAGGTCTTGCGCTTCCTTCCTCCGTGCCCTCGTTTGTGTCCACCTCCAGCATTTGGGATGCTCCTGGACATCCTCTTGCTGAGGGACAGGTATGCACAATCTTAATGACCTTAACTCTGACTCTACAGGTGTGACCAAGGGAATATACAAAAGCTGTTGGGCATTGGTGTGCTGTGGAACTTTCTCATCTGCCCGGGCCTAGGGGTGACAGACAGCCAATAAGAATACACACCGAAAACCACCAGACCTGCAAGGACCATGACTATTCTGCCCACAGTGAGGGCAGCCAGCCAGGGCAGTACAAGGAGCAGCAGGTAGAACCTAGACCCAAACAGATTTCCTAAATGTCTGCCCAAGAGCAGCAGTGATCCCAGGTTGTAGTCAAGTTAGTAAAGAGCATTGGTCGTTCCAGCACTAAGGGGGGGTGGCTCCTAATCCCTTTCTTCCCTAAAACCTTGGGCCTTGTCCCCTAGTAGTAAGCACATCCACTCTCCTTCTATGCCTTCATTTTCTCTTAGAATGGGAATGGGTGCCCCAGAGCCCAGTGTGCTGAGGCCCTAAGAAGGGACCCCAGAGATAGCGATGCTCACAAGGGATAAATAGAACTTTATTTTAAATAAACATATGCACTCTGTACACAGCCCCAGAGGAAGCGGGGCTCAGTCATCAGCTGTCTTGCGTACATCAAAGCTGCCACAAGGTCCACGCAGCAGTTCTGCTAGTAGAGCAAGCAGCTGCCCGTGTTCTTGCTGCACACTGAGAGGTAGTGCAGCCAGCTCACTGCGCAGACTCTGCTCCACCATGCGGCCCAGAGCCCGGCGCAGCTCCCTCAGCAGCCGCACAGTGCGAGAGTCCCCCTCCAGCCTCAGCAGGTCACTGTCACTCAGTGAGATGGTGGCTCGGCGCCCATCATCTAGGGGGAAAGGAGAGATGGCAGGAGCCTAGCTGAGGCCAACCTGAGAAGATGGACCAGCCCTACAAGTTAAGGTGGGTGTCTGCAGGTACCCACCACGGATGTGCACGTCCCCGTCCGTCAGTAGCAGCACAGCTAGTGGGTGCACCTGGGAGGAGTCCCGGACGAAGACGCTGCCATTGGACTTGACAGCCATGAAATATGTCAGCCACCGGCTCCGCAACCGTGTGGCCTCCCTAGAGAACATAGGCTGGGTGATGCTACCTTTGTGGCCTTTCCCAGCAGCCCGGCCCAGCCCTGCCTGACCCCAACCTGTTAATGGTCGACTTGTGCAGCAAGATGTTGCCGGATTTGGTCCTGTATGTGACACTGTTGGGCTTGAACTTCCCCTGCCGGGTCACCTTGCCCTGCCTCACCTGCAAAATTGGAGGGAAAGATGGATGTGGCTGAACTCTGGGCTGGAGGTAGCTCGGTACAGTCAACGCCCCCTCCCAAGGCCAGCACCTGGATGAGATTGGGGTACAACCCCGCCATCAGCACACCCTTCACCAGTTCCTCTTCCTCACTGTACTCGTTGCACTGGGCAGAGGCCAGGGTACAGTCCGAGGGCTTCCCCACTAGGAAAGCTTCATAAATGTTCTCCGAAAACTGCTTGATGAGGCCTGGAGAGACAAAGTGCACTGTGAACCAAGGGCCCGGAGTACAAGCTCAGTGAGGGTTAGGGGGGTGCCAGGCCCAGCTGACCGTGGATGAAGCGCAGGCTGGGTGCATACAGCAGGTTCTCCTCCAGGTAATTCTCCCGGGAGCTGCGGTCCTGCCAGCGCAACACTTCTTCCCAACCTGCCACGGCGCGCACAAAGGCCAGATGGTCGCTGCCACTGTCATGACTCAGCAGTGCCTTCACCTGGGAGAGGAGGAGAGAAGCAGGGGTCAGCACGACAGCAGACAGGAGAGACAGAGGGCTATGAGAAGGAGCTGGGTCTGACCTTGTCCACCTCTGCCCGGTTCTGCAGGCTGCTGCTGAAGGGGTCCCGGGTGAGGCAGGAAACCACCACCAGCAATGGGTGTAGGCAACGGAAGATGGCAGCCAGCACTATAGCCTTGGCCAGCCGAGGGTCAGTGGAGATGTGGGCCAGGCGCTGCCCCAGGGTGGTCAGGTACTCTCGCTGGTCCAGCACTCCTGCAACAGCTCAGCAGTCAGCCCCCAGCCCTCCCAGCCACTCTGCTGCCCGGCTCAACCCCCTACTCACCAATCTCCTGCAGCAAGATCACAGCCTCGTCCACTGCTTTGATGTCAGGACTGTCCACAGCCTTGGAGAGGAACTCCACTGCCTACAAGGACAAGCCAGAGCCCATCAGGAGCCTCCTCCCACCTGCCGACTGTGAGGCCAGCGTGTGCCCAACCCTGCCCTGCGCACCGTCTTCTCAGGCATGTGGATCTTGGCTTGCAGCACCAGGTTCTCAAGGGGTGTGCGCAGGATCTCTGGTACTTGGAAAGTGGCCATTTTCTCCAGCCGGCTGCGTGGGAACAGGTGGTAGGCAAAGCCTGACTGACACCGGCCTGCCCGGCCCCGGCGCTGGATAACATTTGCTCGCGATACCCACACGGTTTCCAGGCAGGACACCTGAGGACGGGGGTGGGTTAGGCGGGTAAGCAGCAGCTCCAACTGTCCATAGCACCCTCAAGCTCACACTGTGTGGCTTTCTGACACACAGCAGGTCTGAGCTGGGCTTTCCCCCTCCCCAGGGCTGGCTGTGACAAGTTCGGGCCCCACTGACAGCAGCACCTTGGTCTTCAGGTCATAGCGCTCCTCTTTGTGCAGACCGCTGTCCACGACGTGCACAATGTCATTAATTGTGATGGATGTCTCAGCAATGTTGGTGGCCAACACAATCTTGCGCACCCCAAGTGGAGGCTGCTGGAATATGGCCTTCTGGTCCATCATGGGGATATTGGAGTGCACTGGAGGCAGCAACACACAGATCAGGGCCCCTGCTCCATCCACAGTAGCCCCAGGAGGAGGGCACAAGTTTTTACCCCATTTTGTTGAAACCCAGCTGAAAATCATCAGAGCTGGGAAAAGTGGCCTACTTGGTCAGAAACCCAGTCCCCTAAAGTTCAATGTAGGGCTTCAGTCCCCAGGGAAGAGGGTAAGACTCCTACGTGGGGAGCATCATACCTGCC